CCCAGCAAAATCAGTCCCCGGCTGAAGATGTGCCCCCCTTGTCATTCCCCCCCAGCAAGATCAGTCCCCCATGAAGATCTGCCCCCCTTGTCACTCCCCTCCAGCAAGATCAGTCCCCGTGAAGATGTGCCCCCCTTGTCATTATTCCACAGCAAAATAATCCCCCGTGAAGATGTGCCCCCCTTGTCATTTTTTTTCCCTCTTCCCCCTAGTATAGCCCCCCCCCCCCCCCCCCGCCCCCCCCCAAAATCAGTCCCCCATGAAGATGATGATCTGCCCCTCCTTGTCATGATTCCCCAGCAAAATCAGTCCCCCATGAAGATCTTGCCCCCCCTTGTCATTATTCTCCCAGCAAAATCCAGTACCCCAGCGAAGATGTGCCCCCCTTGTCATTATCCCACCCACAAGATCATGTCCCCCGTGAAGATCGTGCCCCCCTTGTCATATCCCCCCCAGCAAGAACAGTCCCCCATGATGATGTGCCCCCCCTTGTCATTATTCCACCCCCAGCAAGATCAATCCGCCGTGATTGAAGATGTGCCCCCCCTTGTCATTATTCATCCCAGCAAGTTCAGTCCCCCCATGAAGATCTGCCCCCCTTGTCACTCCTCCAGCAAGATCTGTCCCCGTGGAAAGTAGTGCCCCCCTTGTCATTATTCACCAGCAAAATCAGCCCCCCGTGAAGATGTGACGCCCCCCTTGTCATTATTTCCCCCAGCAAATCATCATTCCCCCCCGTGAAGATGTGCCCCCCTTGTCATTCCCCCCCAGCAAGATCAGTCCCCCATGGAAGATCTGCCCCCCTTGTCACTCCCTCCAGCAAGATCAGTCCCCCGTGAAGATGTGCCCCCCTTGTCATTATTCCCCAGCAAAAATCAGTCCCCCGTGAAGATGTGCCCCCTTGTCATTCCCCCCCCCAGCAAAATCAGTCCCCCATGAAGATCTGCCCCTCCCTTGTCATTATCCCCAGCAAAATCAGTCCCCCAATTAAAGATATGCCCCCCCCATTGTCATTATGTCCTCCAGCAAAATCAGTCCCCAGGGCAAAGATGTGCTCCCCTTGTCATTCCCCCCCCAGCAAGATCAAGAGTCATCCCCCGTGAAGATGTGCCCCCTTGTCATTACCCCCCCCAGCAAGATCAATCCGATCCCCTTGTAAGATGTGCCCCCCTTGTATTCCCCCCCCCCCCAGCAATATCAATCCGCCGGTGAAGATGTGCCCCCTTGTCATTATTTCCCCAGCAAAGATCATTCCCCCATGAAGATCTCAAGCCCCCCCTTGTCACTCCCTTAGCAAGATCAGTTCCCCCGTGAAGATCTGCCCCCCTTGTCATTCCCCCCCAGCAAAATCAGTCCCCCCGTGAAGATGTTGCCCCCCCTTGTCATTACCCCCCACGCAAGATCAATCCTGCCGTGAAGATTGTGTGCCCCCCTTGTCATTATTACCCAGCAAGATCAGTCCCCCCGTGAGACATGCCCCCCTTTGTCATTTCCCCCCAGTGCAAAATCAGTCCCCCGTGAAGATGTGCCAACCCCCCCCCCTTGGCAGTTACCCCCCGCACCAAGATGTCAATCCGCCGTGAAGAATGTCCCCCGTAAGATCCCCCCTTGTCATTATTACCCAGCAAGATCAGGATCCCGCCCCCGTGAAGATCTGCCCCCCCTTGTCATTCCCCCCCAGCAAGATCAGTTCCCCCATGAAGATCTGCCCCCCCTTGTCATTATTCACCAGCAAAATCATTCCCCCGTGAAGATGTGCCCCCCCTTCTCATTACCCCCTCACACCCCAGGATCAGTACCCCGTGAAGATCTGGCCCCCCCCCCCCCCATTGACGCAAACATCACCCCCTGGCAATAAGCTCTCAGTCTCCCTTGATGCAAATCCCCCACCCCATGTGACTGGTAATGTGACATGGTACCCATCGTGTAACTGCACCACCAAAAACATGTTATGGGCCCCCAATATCACTGATCCCCCCACATGTGACTGTACTTGCCATGTCACCCCCCCAGCAGCTTGGCGACATTAGGAACGAGTCAGCAGCAGCAGCAGTGATCCGATGCATGTGACTCCTTACTTGCAATCCAGCATGAAAGGATCCAGCATGAAAGGAGTTAACACTTTCTCAGAGCGAGGTCTCGCTGATCGTCTGCTTATGCCTGAAACTTGGCACATGCGCAGATACAGCAAGGGGGGGCGAGGATGCTCACGGGACACACATCTTCATGCTCCCTCTGACGCTAAGCTTTCGGTCACCAAGGCAACCAGCCTACCCCGCCCTTCCTCCAGACGATTGGTTCTTTTCTGCAATGTGCCGCTTTCCACTTGTGTTCCGATGCTGAGCACCGCCTCTGATTGGACAGCTGCTGCAAACTCGCCACCTGAGCTCAGCTTGATCGCCTTGCACGAAAGCCAATGGTTAGAGCGGGTGGGCGGGATGATGCGGCTGCGGGAGGGGCTTAGTTTGACAGCCAGGAGGTGTGGTAGCACGAGGGAGCGGTGACACCGGGCAAGAGAGTGGAAGCGCTGCCGGCTGTGAGGTCAGGTACATGTCCCGCCTCTTGTCCTACTATTATACGTGTCTGTTTACAGATCCTAGGCGCTGTGTGGTGTACAGGAGCTGAATATGCTATTCTACGGGGGGGGGGGGAAATTCCAGGGGTGATTAACCTGTTGATTGCTGGAGCTGGGGAGGCATTGTATGCAATTGGAGGGTGTATGTGTGACCTGCACAGTACAGTGAATCATAACAATGGAATCCCGCAACATGTGAGCGCTGGGCAGGAACCCCCTGAAGTTGTGGATCCATATACTGCTCTGGTTATTCATGACACATTCATGTGGGAAAGAATGGAACTCCTAAATCTGACAAACCATTGTCTGTGCTCATCCAGCAGTATGCAACACGCAATCAAAAAATGTTGCATATTGCAGGTTACACGCGATTAGAATATAGCACAAAAAATACTGCTTTTGAAGCGATCATATGATAAATTATTTATTTCAGGTACTTATATAGTGCCGTCAGTACAGTGAAGGAAATGCGTATTTGATCCCCTGCCGATTTTGAATATTTGCCCACTCACAAAGAAATGATCAGTCTAAAAATCGAATGTTCGGTGTATTGTAAACACTGAGAGACAGGATAGCAACACAAAATTCAAAAGAAATGCATGTCTAACAAATGATGCACTGATTTGCATGTTCATGAGGGAAAAAAGTATTTGATCCCCTTTACAAAACATGACTTAGTACTTGGTGGCAAATCCCTTGTTGGCAATCACAGAGGTCAGACGTTTCCTGTTTTTTCCTTACATTGGCGGTCAGTAGTAAGAATGTCCCTTACATTGGTTGTCCGTGGTAAGAATGTCCCTTACATTGGTTGTCAGTGGTAAGAATGTCCCTTACATTGGTTGTCAGTGGAAAAAAAAATGTCCCTTACATTGGTTGTCAGTGGTAAGAATGTCCCTTACATTGGTTGTCAGTGGTAAGAATGTCCCTTACACTGGTTGTCAGTGGTAAGAATGTCCCTTACATTGGTGGCCAGTGGGATGAATGGTGCTTACATTTGTGGTCAATGGGAAGCATGTCCCTTATAATGGTGCCCAAAAGGAAGGATGCTCCTTAAATTGGTAGTCAGTAAAAAGCATGCTCCTTACATTGGCGGCCATCAGGAAGAATGTTCCTTACATTGGTGGTCAATGGGAAGGATGCTCCGTATATTGGTGGTCAATGGGAAGGATAATCCGTATATTTGTGGTTAATTGGAAGGATGCTCTGTATATTGGTGGTCAATGGGAAGGATATTCCATATATTAGTGGTCAGTGGGAAGGACATTCCATATATTGGTGGTCAATGGGAAGGACGTTCCATACATTGGTGGTCAGTGGGAAGGACGTTCCATACATTGGTGGTCAGTGGGAAGGACGTTCCATACATTGGTGGCCAGTGGGAAGGACGTTCCATACATTGGTGGCCAGTGGGAAGGACGTTCCATACATTGGTGGCCAGTGGGAAGGACGTTCCATACATTGGTGGCCAGTGGGAAGGACGTTCCATACATTGGTGGCCAGTGGGAAGGACGTTCCATACATTGGTGGCCAGTGGGAAGGACGTTCCATACATTGGTGGCCAGTGGGAAGGACGTTCCATACATTGGTGGCCAGTGGGAAGGACGTTCCATACATTGGTGGCCAGTGGGAAGGACGTTCCATACATTGGTGGCCAGTGGGAAGGACGTTCCATACATTGGTGGCCAGTGGGAAAGGACGTTCCATACATTGGTGGCCAGTGGGAAGGACGTTCCATACATTGGTGGCATACATTGGTGGCCAGTGGGAAGGACGTTCCATACATTGGTGGCCAGTGGGAAGGACGTTCCATACATTGGTGGTCAGTGGGAAGGATCTTCCATACATTGGTGGTCAGTGGGAAGGATCTTCCATACATTGGGTGGTCAGTGGGAATAATGCTTCTTACAGTGCTGTTCAGTAGCCACCCTTTCAGACAGCAAAAAAATGATGGGTGTCCTTCTGCTGGTTCTGGTGCTGGCCCCATCAAATGGGTGGTCAATCAGCCACAGCTCAAGGAACCCCTAGCAACCTTTGGAGGAGCCTTGAGTTGAGAATGGCAGCATCCACTATCTGGTCTGATCGTAGAAAACTAAAATCTGATTGGCTTCTTTAGGTTGTTATTATTATTATTATACAGTATTTATAAAGCGCCAATAGTTCGCTCAGCGCTGTACATTACAAAGTGGGACAGAACATGTGACAGAAAACAATAACAATACAATGCAAAACATGAGGGGATCGAGGGCCCTGCTCTTTCGAGCTTACAATCTAGGAGGTTATAGCACACATTGTTTATTAAATACGCTTCAAACCTCCAGAAGAAATGTTCCAGTAGGGTTATGATGCATATGTGCTGCTTTGCATGTCATCAAAAAGTCTTTAATTACTATTATTTTATGCTTTTAGGTCTACCTCCCTCAAAGAAATGGATTTGCTATTATATCTGGCTGGCTTGCTGGTCCTCTTTCTACTGTGGATTAAAGCAAAGGGCTTTGAGTATGTCATAGTCCACCACCGATGGATCTTTGTCTGCCTCTTCCTTCTTCCTCTGTCTGTTGTCTTTGATCTCTATTATTATGTCAGAGCATGGCTGGTGTTTAAGATGTGCAGCGCCCCAAAGCTCCATGACCGCCGGGTTAAGGAGATTCAAAAACAGGTGAGATATTCTGGCTTCTTACTGTTCATTTATTAGTTCAGGATTTGCTAAAATACCAGCTTCTTAGAGCAACTGTTGCTATCCATAGGCTTCTGTAGCTGGGTGACGCATGATCAGCCCTAAGGCTGGTGACACTACCACTAGTGATCCTGCCACTGACAATTTGGCAAAACCACAGGTGGTAGGATTGCTGTTTTGACCCTATGGGATCGTTCACTCTGTAGCCAAGGTAGTGAGAAGTTGCTGCCATTGCTAGCAATGGAGATTCAGCAGTGTTCATGCTAGCAAAAGAGCAATATCTTGTTGCATCTGTGTACAGAGGGATTGAATCCATAGGGACACACAGACGGTCTTTTTTGGAGATTATGCTGCTGGCAATTTTTCTCTAGCAGCAGAATTGTCTTTGTGTCATCAGTATAACTTGTATGTGGTCGCCTGTATGATGGAGTGATACAAATGAATGGAGATTGGGGCTCATTTTTATAATAGAGAGCAGATACCATTATCCGCTCTCAGCTGGCACTGCAGTGTTTACTGCACCTGCATTTTTACTGGTCATTCATAAAATGTAGGCTGGAGATTGTGGTGTCAAGTGGAGTGTCATGTGATTGGACTGATCACATTTATAAAGCTCACCGCTTCTCTTAATAAATGTGCATTTTTTTTTTTTCAACTGTTGTTATGGCCATGGTAAATCCAAACTGCTCCCCTATACTTGTGTCCCTGAGTTTCAGCACTAACAGACTGTAATGGGTCATTTTTACAATAAAGCATTGTTGCCCGAATGCCAGGGGCATGAGAGGTGACTGATATGTCATTTCTCTAGGTCAAAGGAACAAAGTCACAAGATATTCTGATGAGAGCAAGATAAAAACTTATTTATGGAATGAAACATGTTTATGACATCTAGTAACCTCACATTAGGTGATAAAAACCTGTTTAAGAACATCTAAGGTAGAAATCCTTAAGTCTGGGGGAGATGAAAAGAGGTTTTGGGGTAGATAAGAAGCAAAAGTGTGACTTTTCAGATAACTAATATGGTGGCTCTGTTATCCTCATGGAACCCTTCTGCTAGCTCCTCCTGTGGTGGGTGTGGCACCGCCCACTATTGGACAGCTTCCAGAAAATGGGTTTACAAGGCGGAGGTCCGGGCAAGACCAGTAGAAGCCCCCCCTTAGTGGCCAGTGGATTCTCTAACGCTGGGCTATATGGGCTAATCGACTGGTTGCGCCTACGACTTCTCCGTGACCCCCTGAGCAGTTTGGTTCCGATGGGATTTGTTCCTCCCAGCTTCTAACATAGCTTTGGTAATGTATTAATTCTATGCTGTGATGCTGTCAAATGATGTTTCTATTTCATGCTGTAATTCTTCCACTCTTACTGGTGTGTGTTATTATGCAGATTGTGATGACTATAAGATATATCCTCCTGTGTGCCGTGTGATAATAAAAGTGGAGGTTTTGACAGTGCAAGAATTTTGCAGTTGGATTCTGTTATTTCTTGGAGTGTCGGGTGAATGCTATGATGTGCCAGGGCAGGTGTTCATTTGGTAGAGGGTCTTTCACATGTGTAGAATATGTAGTGGTTTAAATGCTGATAAAAAGTACCTGCATGACTACATGTTGATTGTGTGCGTGCATAGGACTTGCTTTTAGTTATTGCACCGAGTATTTTTTATTACACAGACACTGGATTTTGTGTTCATGGCTGTGCGGTTAGCACTGTTGTCAACATGCAAACTTGTGCAGAAGGTGCCATTGATGAACGCTGAACTTCTCTCGATGGTTTGTTCGTAGTTCACAGTGTTTTCTCATCATACGGATACAAACAGTTGCTCATAACCACAGTACAATCCAATAAACAGTTGAGCAGATATGTGGGAGACACAAACATTTGAGACCTAACAGAAAAATGTATATGGTGTCATCAAAATGACCTCAGCATTACACATAATTCAGTCCTCCAGTAAACCATACTGCGGTGGAACAGTCACATGTTGTGTCCACTGGACATGTTCAACTCATATTTGCTCTTGTAAGATCTCCAAAGCATGCGGCTATTGGTTTGACCTCCAGTATACAGCAGCTGTAATCCTAAAGGAAACTTGGCTAGCATGGTCAACAAGGCCCTAATTTAGTAAATCCATGGCTGAAGCTTCAGGAGGGTAGTAAAGATGATGATATGAAGAAACACGATTTATGCCATCCTCCAGGGGCCAAGCCGGAAAACGGGGAAGGAGAAAAAGTCTAAGAAGAGGAGATCCAATGCAAGAGAAAAGAAACAGAGAAAAGGAGAAGAATCAGGGGAACATAAAGCATGGTATGGGGAGGAAGAAAGGGGAGGTAATGCAAAAATAGCTGTCTAGCTGGGTTTTCCATTTGCCGCTTAAGTCTGATTGGGGTCCATGCAGTCTATCATAGCATACATCCATGCCAGGAGAGCTTCAAGTCCGATATAGGGATTATCCTTGAAACTGGGTATCTGGCATAACAGAGGCATAGTCAGAGATGGATCTGTAATGAAAACAACACGCCCAAGTTTTGTGAAAGGCCTGTACCCTATCTTCTTTGAATTAGCTCCTGCATTTCAGCCACACAATTTAGTCTTCTAAACCACTCAGTTAAAGTTGGAACATGTCTCTGCTTCCATTACACTGGGATACACATTTGAGCAGCATTCACCATATGCATTGCAAACAACTTGGCATATGAATATTCCATCACAGAAGACTGATGAAGTAGGTATTGGAGTGATGAAAAGTCTAAAGTATAGCTTGTGATGTTGAGAACATTAGTCCAATATGTCTGTAGGTCGGGGCATTGCCACTATATGTTGAGCATTATACCCTGACAGTGGTTAGGAGTCTGAGAGAAGACTTTGTGCAGAAAATCAGGTGTTCTGTACCATCTGGAGTATACCTTGTAGTTGCATGGAAACATTAAGAGAGCCCTTATGTATTGTGGTAAACACTCTATCCCATTCCTAATCAGAAAGCACCATACCTTTTTCAGCCTCCCATTTCTGCCTTGCCGATATAGATTTAGTGGGTAAGGCAAGCCATAGATGAATCATGGGTGGAAGGAATGAAAATGACCCAACTTCTCCATCAACACAGTCAGTGTTGATGGGGGAATGCTTTCCTTTGCAATATTGTCTTCTGCCGATGGGGAGCCTCCCTTGCTGGCAGAACATAATGATTACTGCTAGAGGCTATAGCCACCAGTGGTAGTTGCAGCTAAAAATCCGACAGGTTGGTTATATCAACCTTACAATCTGCCTCCCCTTAGATGGATCAAATCTCGGCCAGTCCCTGGTGAACCAGCCGAGATTTGATCCATCTATGACCGGCATCTAAGTCATGAATCAGCATAGAGTAGATGGTCAATACCAAATGGTGTTGTGGAGTTTGGGAATCTCTTTGTTTTTCAAAGGAAGTGTTTGGTTTGCAGTATGCTCCATTGACTCTGGGGTGGTTTAGAAAGTAACGTATCTGCAGACAGGTCCACAGAGGAAATTGCTGCTTACAAAGGTCTCAAATTTTGTTGCAGTAGAAAGGTGTCATGGACAAAAAAATGATCAGCCCAAGGAGTCGCAATAAACCTACACTGCTGCGGAAAGTCAGCATGTTGTCCTGGAGGAAAGTCTGGGTTGGCCAATAGAGGAGTCATAAGGCCAGGTGGCAAAATGTTTTTTTTTTTTATTTTGGATAGAATGGAAGGGGATTAGAAACCTGTCAGTTTTTATTGCTGTCTGTGTCCCCATTGGGTAGATTCACCCTCTATATTTGTCCTGTGACCCTTTTGGTTTTGGGACAGGAAGTGAAGGAAAAAACGCCTCTATGGGACAATTAATGTCAAAATTAAACTGGCAGGAGTTTATAACCCTCCCTTACTCTGTACAAAATTTTTAAAAAGTATAGAAAAAAGTCCTACTTTAAGCCTACCATACACGGATTGAAGTTTGACTGATTCCTGCTAAAGATGCTGGGTCAAAAATTGTCAGCTGAACATTGATTGCATCCAACCAGATGCAGTCACTGTTAGGGTATTCAGGCAGCCGCAAGTGTTGGCTGTCTGAATACAGTAGCCAGCTGGGAAGATTCCTTTATTCTGACTGAAAGGAATCTATTAGGAATCTACCAGATTTCTCTTGTTCAGCCAATAGGCTGATCCAGAGAAGTCTACACGTGTATGGCCAGCCCTACTAATGATTGTTCTTGCAAACATTCTACATCACTGGCATCTGTTCAACCCTTGCAATAATGGCATAGAGGACCATTATGATCATAGTCTCTTCTTCTAAAAATACCGGTTGCCCAGCTATTATGTGTCACTAGTTTAAAGCCTCAGTTTTATACTGCTGGACTCATGGAGCATATTCTTTGTATGTGAACCTCCCTGTTGAATGACTTAAAACGTATGAAAGTACCTTTCTCATTCTGCTCAATCTCATAGATCAGCGGTCTCTATACTTTCTAAAGAAAGGGCCAGTTTACTGTCCTTCAGACCTTACAGGAGCAGGGCTGTGCTCATTGGGAGTAAACCATGCCCAAATTGTGGTAATAGGGGAAGAAATAGTTCCTATCAGTAGAAGGAATAGTACCCCATTTTTGTTGTCAGTGGAAGGAATTATTCCCCATCATTGATGTCAGTGAGAGGAATAATGCCTAATTGTTGGTGTCAGTGGAAGGGATAGTGCCCCATTTTTGGTGTCAGTGGCAGGGATAATGCATCAAGGGTCAGATAAAGGCAAGCAAAGGGTTTGGAGACCACTGTCAGACCTTTGGGTAGCACCTTTTCACAATCTCTAGGGTTAGATGGGAAGGTTGGGGAGATATCTTTCCATCACATTCAGCCCACGACAAGACTTGGGGGTGGAGTGCATATCTGGCAAATCAGCAGGTATTTCTCTGTACTTGCAAGGTCTTTAAATGGTTAAAACATGGGAAAATTGCATGCATTGTGTAGAGGTGCACTGCATATGGTTGTATGTTTATGTTGCCCTGACATTATTAATATTATTATTATACAGGATTTATATAGCGCCAACAGGTTGCTCAGCACTTTACAATATAACGGGAGACAATACAGCAACAATACAGTTCAATACAAGAGGGTTAGGAGGGCCCTGCTCCTTGGAGCTTACAATCTAGGAGATATACGTTTATGCGTGCCTATATGAATAATAACTGACCTGCCAGGAGCGGACCCTGCAAGAATTTTTACAAGTTTGTGTTTTTCTAGAAAAATCGGGTAAAAGATTAAAAGAAAAAAAAAATCTGGGACATGGTATAGAGGGGGTGAGGGATTAAACCAGAACTAAATTATTATTATTTTTTTTTGTAATTTGGGATAGGGTAAGGGACGGTTATAACTCTTTTCAGTTTCTTTTCTGCCCATTGGGGAGATTTCCTTTCACTTCCTTCCTATAGCCAAAATAGGAAGTGTGAAGAAATCCCTTCAAAGTGATGGAGTCCATGGTTGTCACTATAAGGGCTCATGCACACTGCAGCTGCTAAACTGACGTTCCGGAGCTGTTCAGCATTTGTTTCAGGAGCCCCTGAACTCTCCTTAATGTTTTCCTATGTGTCCATGTACACTGTCATTTACAGGCAATTGAGTTTACAGTCATTTTTTTTTTTTTAAACACCCAAACTTGCAATCAGGAGTAGATTTTACCACTTGTAACCGTGTGTAAACGTAAACTGCGTTTAGAAGCGTTTGCGTTTAGAAGCGTTTTTTAACTGTTCCATATCCAGATGCTGTCCGGAGCCTTTTTTCATAGTCCGAAATGCATGCAAAGCGTTTTCCATGTAATCAAATGGACCCGGGACACCAGCGCAGTCAGTTCCAGGTTTCGCGTGAAGAAAAAATTGGTAGAACACGCTGCATTATGCTCATGATGGGATCCATAGTGAATACAACCAGAAAAGACAGGTCACCTCAACACATACTACTCTCTCTGCTTCTACTCTTTCTAGTCCTCTCAAAATGTCTGAAAAAGTTAATTTTTTACTATTTTTCAGTGCATTCTGGGCATTTGGGAAGGTCTCCTGAGGTTATCTTTTAAAAACACTTCTAAACGCAAACGCACATAAACGCGGTATGCAAACGTGGCTAAACTGACGTTTTTTAACCTACGTTTTCCAGCAGTCAGTTTCCAACGTTCAGAAGAGTGTTCCAAATGCCCCGTGTACATGAGCCCTAACTAGTGTCCTCATGGGCAGTTATTATAGATATATATTTTTTTTTTAATCCTAATAGTAACAACCACTGTCCTCTCACCTGGTGCATGTAAGTATAGCAACAGAAGGCTGTTTTTAGATGTAGGATATAAAAAAATATGTAATCATAAACTTTGTAAAATCTGGACAGTATATTATATGTACATTTTGGCATTATGTTAATTACTCAAAAAAAATCGGTAGTAGTGACCAGTTTTGTTCCTATTGTTTTTCTAGGTACGTCAGTGGAAAGCCGACGGAGCAAAGAAGTTCATGTGTACAGGGAGGCCAGGTTGGCTGACTGTATCTCTGAGGGTTGGGAAGTACAAGAACACTCATAAGAATATCATGATCAACCTTATGGATATCTTAGAGGTGGACACCAAGAGACAGGTACAACCCAAAGATGAGGATAATTACCTATACTTGGTTTTAAAACACTTTGTTGGGAGTACAAATATTCCTACTGAGTTTTCAAATTGGCAAACCATATTCGTTTTGGTGACCTTTTTTTTTAAAGCTGAACTCCGGGAAAAGAAAAATCATCCCTTGCAGTTGGTCTTCCCCTGCTATGCAAGTGTTAAATGCTTGCTTATGTCTGGCGAAATGGAAAAAAAGCGGTTTTACTTACCCATTTCATCCACTCCCCTAGGCTCTTGCTTGCTGCAAGTCTGGTCTTCTTCTTCCCTATGCTCCGGTGGATGCCCTCTGACATAAACAAGACTGTTGTAGGTCCCTTATACCTGTAGTGGATATGAGATGCCAGGAATAGTCCACTGCCGGAGCATAGGGGACCCCTGTGTGCCAGAGGATTGGGTAAGTCAGGGGTGCTCAACCCTTGGCCCCTGGTCCACATGTGGCCCTTGGAGCCCTCTGATGTGGCCTTTGACCTCATACTAAGTGCAGGAGTGTTGGTTCATTTTCAGAAAGTGCACCACACCTGTAAGATATATTAGAAGTCTATGGCAAAGCGTAGCTAACCCACAGGAAAGCCCCAGGTGCACTGCGCTGCACTCTCGGGGTGGGATTTACCCGCACCATACTCCAGGGGCCTCCATGTCACATTTTACCCTTGGACAGGAGGGGCAGCATATACAGGAACCGATTCTCTCCATTTTCTGCCTGCAACCATTGAATACCGACTTCTCCTCCTCTCCCTACTGCTGGTATTCAGTGGCTGTAGGAGGAAAATGTTCATTATGCTATTTAAAATAAAACGATTCAACACCAAATCACTTAAAGTGTTACTAAACCCAGGACCCTGCATTCACTATATCTGGTCTCTCCGGACCCTGCATTCACTATATCTGGTCTCTCCGGACCCTGCATTCACTATATCTGGTCTTCCCGGACCCTGCATTCACTATATCTGGTCCCCCACAGTACACACAACATGGAAATGCAATTATTTTAGTAAATATAAACTGCTAAATACCTTTTCTGATCAGCAGTTAGAGCAGTCTTGTGACTTCTATCAGTGTCCAGCAGAGCACTGGTTAAAGCTCTTGGGTGGAGTTTTCATTTTGCTCTTAGATGATGCAGAACCCCTGACCTCTAGACAGTGCTGATTGGCCCTGTGCTGATCACATGCACCCTCCCAAGAAAAAAAAAAAACCTGTCTAGAAATGCACACCAAACTGAGCATGTGCAGAGTGATTCCACACCATATGTCTTATCAGGAGATAGGAGGGGGGTACTGGAAGAAGGGGAGGATCAGAGAAGTCAGGATCAAACAGCATTTTTCACAATGCAGAGGATTAACCCCTTAGGTTCTACTGTGAGTATATCAAGCATATATAGAAAAAGTAACTCGGCGAGCGCTCAATACAAATAAGCGACTATGCACAGTAAAAGGGAACCATAAAACCTTCCAAATAACACATATAATCAGGGTAAGTGCAGCGCTAAACACATAAAGATATGAAGAGTTCTTCAATGAATCAGTATAAATCATATATGCATGAAAAAAGTTCTAAAACAATGGAGCTCAATGTGACTTCACATGTTTCCTCAAAGAGATAGGTGAGAGGCAAGGTGATGGGTCTGCGCGTGCTCGCACCATCACGTGATTGAGCTCCCCCTGGTGACCACTGTACCACACTGAAGAGCCTGCACCCGTGTCCTTAAAGGGGACCTCCGGTTTATTATATCTTGATAACATCTGCTTATCCTGTGTCGATCCTGTTCTCCTATGCTGAGAGGGACCCATTGGCAGACCTCCACTATACCATACACTGCGCATTACCATTGCGCGTCCGGTGAGTGTGCACCTTTTTACCCATCACCCATGATTGTTTTATACTTTTTCATTGAAGAACTCTTCATATCTTTATGTGTTTAGTGCTGCACTTACCCTGATTATAAGTATATCAAGCATGCTTTACTGCATATACAGACTGATTTTACTGTTGTGGGTTTAGTAACGGGGCCCCATGCTCTTCAATAGGACGAGTACACCTGGGGTAAGTAAAACTGCGTTTCCAGTTCCCTAGACATAAATGAGAATTTAAAGCTAAACCCTGGGCACAAAAGCTTTCATTTAGGTATAATACTCAATAGCCACAAATTATACAAATCTACCCTGTGTACCAGTTGCCTTTACAAACCCAGGTATTACCTTGTAAAAGTAGTGGTGACATCACTGTGCTGTACATAGCCTGTGCAGACAGCAGAGCTGTAGGAGGGATTCATCAGGCTCCACCCACTGCAGGCTGCCTGCAGATAACTACAAGAGTGGGCGGAGACGAGACCAGTCACCCTGCACAAGGAGAGAGAGCAGCAGTGACCGGTCTTTATTACAGGAAGCTCCTGCAAGGCAAGGTTTCACACTGGATTACTACACAGATCTGGAAGAAATATGCAAAGAATACAAGAATTCAAGTAAGAATACAAGACGAATGTATTTACATAATATTTGTTGCTCCCCGGGGTTCGGCTTTAACCCTTGCTGTGTGGGCACAGCCCGCTGTAACGGAGTTTTTACTTGTCTCGGAGTTGGGCTTTAAGACTTGCTAGCAGAATGGGGTGAGTGATTAAAGTATAGGGTTAAAACCACTGTCAATTTATTTTTTGTCCCTTTTGGGGAGGTTTCCCTTCACTTCCTGTTCCAGAGATACAACAGGAAGTGAGAGGAAATCTTATGAAATGCTACAAAGTATGCTTCCAAAGAAATTAAAAAGCAGACACTGGTGTATGTCTAGTCACATTGCATATTTGTTCTCTGAATTTTGTGTTTGCCTATAGTTCTCCTTGAGTGAATTATATACTCTCATTTCTTCTCTGTAGGTTGTTCGCGTGGAACCATTAGCGAACATGGGTCAGGTGACTGCCCTGCTTAATTCTATTGGTTGGACCCTTCCTGTACTGCCAGAACTTGATGACCTGACCGTTGGTAAAAAAAACACTTTTTAATTTATTCAGGTCAATCTCTTTTGGTGCCTTACTTGTCATGTAATTTAGGTAGTACAAGGTCATGTGATTCATTACCGTTTAAAGGGTTGGTTCACTTAGGTACATGCATTTGTGTGTTAGGAACATGCAAGTGTTTTTTAAAAAAAAATTTTTTTATCGTTTGTGCCTAAATTTATTGGGCTAAGTTCACATTGATCCGTAGCAAAAATGCACTAAAAACGCCTGTGTTTTTGCCGCATTTGCAGTGCGTTTTACACAGGACATGTGACCTGAAAATTGCATCAAAAACACAACACAGGTGTGTTTTTGATGCGTTTCTGAAATTTTTCCATATATTTCAATGGTACGTTAGTTTTTGGTCTGGGTTTTTTTTATTTTACCGCACCAAAAAATGCAGCAAACAAGATTTTACTAAACGCAGTGGACCTGCAATGGATCAGTGCGAAGAGTTCTATAGGATTACATGGTCACAGGATCAGTGTGAAAGCAGCCTAAGGCTAGGTTCACACCTATGCAGCTTAAATTTGATCTGTTTCTGCAGTGCATTTTGCAGCGTTTTGCAGTTTGTTTGTTTTTCTTGTTGCTAGGCAGATTTAAAATGCAAAATGCAGCAAAAACGCACTACATGCTTTTCTGCAGCATTTCCATTGAAGTCTATAGAACCAAAAACACAACTTTTTGCATTAAAAAAAAAGTCGCTGACCCTTTCCAAAAATGCACCGGGTGAAAACGAGATGTGAACATGTCTATGAGGCATGGAGGAGCTCAGCTACGAGGAAAGATTAGAGGAACTGAATTTATTCTCTCTTGAGAAGAGGAGATTAAGGGGGGATATGATCTCCATATATAATACATAAGGGGGGATCTGATCTCCATGTATAAATACATCAGTGGTTCATATAGTGAACTCGGTGTTGAGCTATTCACCCTGAGGTCATCACAAAGGAAAAGGGGGCACTCTTTATGTCTGGAGGCAAAGAAATGTAATCTCCAAACACGGAAAGGTTTCTTCACAGTGAGAGCTGTGAAAATGTGGAATAGACTCCCTCAATAGTTGGTTCTGGCCAGCTCAGTGGATTGCTTTAAAAAAGTCCTGGATTCTTTCTTAGATACACAGAATATAACTGCATACTAGCATTTATAGGTAAAGTTGATCCAGGGAATATCCGATTGCCTCTCGGGGGATCAGGAAGGAATTTTTTTCCCAGCAGGAGCAAATTGGATCGTGCTTTGCTGGGTTTTTTTGTTTGCCTTCCTCTGGATCAACTGTGGGTATAGGATTATAACATTTTATTTTTTCTATGGTTGAACTAGATGGACTTTTGTCTTATTTCAGCCAGACCAACTATGTAACTATGTCTAATAGGAAATCATGTTAAATGGACTGTAGTGCGTTTCTGGAAAACGCTGTGGAAAACGCTTAAGTGTGAACCCAGGGAAGACAATGTGTTTTAAGCGTGTCTTACATGCATTTTTACTGCTTGTTTTCCAAATTCTCCCTGCAAACACATATGAAATCATGAGCATGTGACTCAAAGCACACTAACTACAATGTGTATTGCGTGTATCTGTGTTTTCAATGAGTTACTATTGACATTAATGTTACATGTGTTTTTCAAGAAAAGCACAAAAGGTGCAGCATGCATGATTTTCAAAAACGCACCACATTGTAGTGTAACACACAGCGCACTAATTTTATAGATTTTAATGGAAACAATTTTTCCTCCAGAAGCTTAGCACTTAATACATTAGTTGTGGGATGCAGGGGGAAGGGGCCCAGCTGTATCGTATGTTTGAAATCTACAGAATGATCAGACTCTATGGATATTCCAGATTCAACTTTCACCTAATGGGCTCATCTGGCATATACTGCCTCTGAGATGGATGTTGCATAATGTGATAAACATGGAAAAAAGCTTATTTGCATATTCAGCAGAGATTAAATTAAAACACTCCGTTTTAATTTGCTTGGTCAACATCTCGGCAGTCATAATGCAACCGGTAAAAAAAAAAAAAATCCCACAAACATGTTCAGATTGCTGTACAATTCTGTTGGAAACATTGTGGAATTTGTATATTTTGGGTGAACTGACCCTGCCAGATTCTAAAAGTAATCTGTTTTTTTTAGGTGGTCTTATTATGGGAACTGGAATCGAGTCTTCATCACATAACTATGGGCTTTTCCAACACATCTGCTTGGCTTATGAGCTTGTCTTGGCTGATGGAAGCCCTTGTCCGTTGTACACCAGTAAGACCAATCCTTTGCTACTTTTTTTTTTATTCAAATGTATTCATTTAATATGTAACATATCTGTACTGGATGTGGCTTGAATGACTGTATATAAATACAGTCATATGACTGTAGGTACACCTGATTTGAAATTTTTGACCTCCTTTCAACATAATTGAACAGGAAAATATTAGATCTTCATTCAGACAGTGTCTAAAGGAGACATACATTAGTAGTCACAAGAAAAATTTGCCGCCTTGATCTTTGATTCAAACAAAATTTCAAAAGAAGGATTTGCTAGTGTGCTTTGGATAATTGTGTTGAATGTTAATGTAAAGTTGACTTCAAGCTGCTTAGGCTCTAAGGCAGCAAAGTACCCTCAAACCATAATATTCCCATCACCATTCTTCACAGTTGGCATGAAGGTCTTCTCCTGAAATGCTGTCTTCAGTTTGCAACAAACATGTCTACTTTTTCTCTGGCCTGTTTGTTTTTAAATCGGGTACATTTTTACTAAAAGAGAAGTGTGGGAATAGAAAATAAACATTTATACTTCTCTAGATGGCTGCAGCAGTGATCCAATGCTGCAGCTATCCTCCACCGGCTCCACATTGAAAACTGAGCAATCAAAGACTTCTGGTCACTCAGTTCTCGGTTCCGCTGGAGCACCAAGCTGTGCAGGGGGCGCAACCGGCTAGCTCAGGATTTCAACAGCCCACCAGCTGCCGGTAAGGTAACTGAGCAGATCCCAACATTATTGTCAGGATCCCTGCAGAGCCTGGACTGTCTCTATGATGTCAGCTGAGAGCAGGCTTAAGCCCAAGTAAGTGCACTCCTGTGACTCATAGGGGAAGTACAGCCAAAAGAGCTTTGGCCACACTTCTCCTTTTTAAACTGTTTTCCTGGTTTACAGACAAAACCAACAATTCCCCTATCCACACACTGTCCTCCAATCCTAAAACTAGCAAAACAGAAAAACATACAAAAACATGTTGGTAAGAAAAAAGAAAGTGACAACATGGGAACTCCTACTGTATGTGCCTTTTGTCTGTAGTCAGCAACAAAATGGACATCTGTTATTACATTGGTATTAGCAATCTAGAGCATATACCCTTCAATGACATAACGTCACAGAGGTGGTGAAAAGGAAATAAATAAACCATACTATCCTAATACCCAGTCTGACCACAGGAATCAGAATCAGGACAAAGAAGTCAATTGCACTCAGCATTTAGTGCAGGTCCTCTCTAAGGTTTTGAAAGGGCTTAACATTACAGCCTATGTGCAACTAATATCCGATTATATAATATCCTGAGCTATCCAAAAGGTAGAATTTGTTACTTTCTGAAGATCTGGGAGGTTATAATTGTCCCAAAAAAGAGTAAAAATAGTGAAACCTTCATATTCCCGTAAACATCACAACATTGCCCATTGATCAGCACTATGGGGTTGATTTACTAAAGACACATAGACTGTGCACCCTGCAAAGTGAAGTTGCACCCTGCAAGTGCAGTTGCTCCAGAGCAGGGGTCTCCAAACTATGGCCCACCAGGTGTTGAGGAACTGCAAGTCCCATGAGGCCTTACAAGACTCTTCTATCCATAGGCAAGACTCCCAGAGGCATGATGGGACTTGTAGTACTTCAACAGCTGAAGGGCCATAGTTTAGAGACCCCTGCTCAAGAGCTTAGTAAATCAGGTAAAGTATGCAAGGAAAAAAAAACTGCATATTTGCTTGCACATGATTGAAGGATGGAAGTCAGCAAAATGTCTGCTCATTTACTAAGCTTTGGAGAAACTGCTCTTGTAGAGTGCAACTGCATGTTGCAAAGTGCACACTCTTTTTGCCTTTAATAAATCAACCCCATTGTTTCATGGCCTGGTCTTTGTTTAGTTACTCAATGGCAAACTGTAGTCTTCCTCTAATGTTCTTTTTTTGGACAACAGGTTTTTTCCTGGTACACCTCTCATGCAGGTTAAATTGGTGCAGCTTCTTTCTGATTGTAGATGCATGCACTTTGACACCAACCTGCAGATCCCATGATGAAATTTTGGTGTTCTTGGAGATTTATTTTAACATCAAACCATAAGCTCTTTGCTTGAATTTACTGGGCCTGCCAGTCCTGAACAAATTAATTGTTGCTTGAAATCTATGCCACTTGTATTTTCCTTACAGCGGAATGACTTTTAAATAGGCATCCACAACCACCTTTCTGAAGGCCTTAAGAGAGCTCTTTTGATCTTGGCATTGTGACACCACACGTTAATACCAAAAAGACCAGAACCTAGATGTCTGGGGTTTAAATAAGACAGATTCCGCCTGCATACTCCATAACCTGGGTCTCGTCATTGATTCTAATTTCATTATGTTTATATATTTTTTTTTTTCAGACTGAGAACTCTGATCTCTTTTATGCTGTGCCATGGTCCTGTGGGACTCTGGGATTCTTGGTAGCTGCTGAGATAAAGATCGTCCCATCCAAAAAGTATGTGAAGCTACATTATACGCCAGTGAGGGGCCTGGAGAAGATCTGTGAGAAGTTTTCCAGAGAGTCACAGAAGAAAGAGAACTACTTTGTGGAAGGTTTGGTTTACTCTGTAGATGAGGCTGTCATTATGACTGGGGTCCTGACCGATGATGCTGAGCCAGGTCAGGTAAGTGATCGTCTGATTTGTCACATTTGTTTCAAAATCTATTTCTTCATTGCATCATCATTGAGGTTTTACCTTTTTTTTTGTTCTCTGTGTTATTCACAGAAATGTGTTTTTTTTTTACATTTAAAGGTGAATAGAATTGGAAACTATTGGAAACCCTGGTTCTTCCGCCATGTGGAATCTTTCCTAAAGAATAACCAAAGTGGAACAGAGTACATACCACTAAGACATTACTATCACAGACACACACGGAGCATTTTCTGGGAACTGCAGGTGCGTTTCACACTCTGCTAATGCAAAAAGGTCTACATAGTACTTTGTATGAGTTTAGATTGTCTAATAGGGGTATAGGAATGGGTATGGGAGAACTAATAGTAGAATATGTATGGAAGAGCCAAGAGTGGTACGGGTATGGAAGAGATGACAGTGGTAAGGGTATGGAAGAGATGACAGTGGTAAGGGTATGGAGGGGCTGACAGTGGTACGGGTATGGAGGGGCTGACAGTGTTACGGGTATGGAGGGGCTGACAGTGGTACGGGTACGGAGGGGCTGACAGTGGTACGGGTACAGAGGGGCTGACAGTGTTACGGGTACGGAGGGGCTGACAGTGGTACGGGTACGGAGGGGCTGACAGTGGTACGGGTACGGAGGGGCTGACAGTGGTACGGGTACAGAGGTATGGACAGTGGTACGGGTACGGAGGTATGGACAGTGGTACGGGTACGGAGGTATGGACAGTGGTACGGGTACGGAGGTATGGACAGTGGTACGGGTACGGAGGAGTCGACCGTGGTACGGGTACGGAGGAGTCGACCGTGGTACGGGTACGGAGGGAGAGTCGACCGTGGTACAGGTATGGACTGGCTGACCGTAATAGGTACGGGTACGGAGGAGTCGATAGTGGTATTGAATATGGACGAACTAATAATGGCGGGAGTATGGAAGAACTAATAATGGCGGGAGTAAGAAAGAACTGATATTGCTATGGAAGAAGTATTAGTGCTCAAGTAATCTTTAGTGGATATTCTTTAACCACCTGACCTCCCAGAAGATTTACCCCTTTCATGACCAGGCTATTTTTTGCGATATGGCACTGAGTTACTTTAACTGAAAATTGCACGGTCATGCAATGCTGTATATAAATGAAATTTGTCATTTTTTTTTCCACAAACAGAGCTTCCTTTTAGTGGTATTTGATCACCCCTGGATTTTTTATTTTTTGCGCTATAAAGGAAAAAAAAAACATTTAAAAATAAAAAACAAAACAATATTTTTTTACTTTCTGCTATAAAACATATCCAATAAAAAAAAATTTAAAAATCAAATTTCTTCATAAATTTAAGCTAAAATGTATTCTGCTACATATTTTTGGTAAAAATCCCAATAAGGGTATATTGATTGGTTTGCACAAAAGTTATAGCGTCTACAAATGGCGATATATATACTGGAATTTTTTTTTTTTTTCTTTTAATTCGTAATGGCAGTGATCAGCGACTTATAGCGGGACTGCAATATTGTGGCGAACAGTCTGACACTAACTGATACTTTGTGGGAACCAGTGACACCAATACAGTGATCAGTGCTAAAACTATACACTGTCACTGTATTAATGACACTGGCTGGGAAGGGGTAAAACATCTAGGACGATCAAAGGGTTAATTCTGTGCCCAGCCAGTTTGTATGTTTACTGTGTACTGTTTTTACTAGGCAATCTGCTAGATTTTATTCCTGAATAAAATCTAGCGGATTGCCATTGACATAACACAGTTCTGCCTTGTTTACCTAGGCAGAGTTGTGTTATGTCAGTCTCCTTGGCGATTAACAGGTGCCGGCGCTGATCCATTGGCCAGCACCTGTTGATTGGCTTCTGCTTTGTACTTTCACAGCAGCAGCAGGCATGCACCCCCAAGTGGCAGAAGTGCAGTCACTTTTATATACGTGATTTTGCATAGAATGTCCGTCCTGTTTATTGATGCCCTGGCAAAAACATTGGGGTTGATGTACTAAACCTGGAGAGTGCAAAATCTGGTGCAGCTGTGCATAGAAACCAATGAGCTTCCAGGTTTTTTTTTTATTTTGTCAAAGCTTAATTGAACAAGCTGAAGTTAGAAGCTGATTGGCTACCATGCGCAGCTGCAGCAGATTTTGCATGCTCCAGTTTTAGTAAATCAGCCCTAAAGTTACCCTAACAGGAAGCAAGGAAGAATCATTGATGGGACACAAATAGCAATAAAAAAAAAAAAACAGCCGACTGTCCTAGCGTTTTTAAGGTTTTTCTTACTGTCTGTATCCATCTTGGAGACTCTCCCATTTCGATAGATGACATTTTTATTTGTCATTAACATTCTTCTTTTCTGATTGTAGGACATTATTCCTTTGGTAATCACCCATTGTTCCGTTACCTGTTTGGCTGGATGGTTCCACCAAAAATTTCCTTGTTGAAGCTCACACAGGGAGAAACCATCCGAAAGTTGTATGAACAGCATCATGTGGTGCAGGACATGCTTGTACCAATGAAATGTCTACAGAAATCCATTGAGGCTTTCCACAATGAGATCAAGGTGTGTATGAAGAAGACCATTGTAAATGGAACCCCAACGCACCTTGCTCACAGTGCACTAGGGTGCCATTGCATGGATTTGCACAAAAATGGTGTGTGCGGTCTTAAAAAAAAAAAAATGTAGGTTGACACACATCAATCAACACATCACATGGTGTGAATGAGCCTTAAGAGGGTCATCGACATGCTTACACTAAACACAAAAAAAAAAAAATTGACAAAATTTCAGTTCCTTAAAAAGCATTTGTGTCGTACACCTATACAGTATCATCTTCTTTTTTTTCTTTTTTTTTTTCTTTTTATGCAGGTGTACCCACTTTGGCTTTGCCCTTTCATCCTACCCAGTCATCCTGGCATGGTGCATCCCAAGGGCAATGAGGCAGAGCTGTATGTAGATATCGGAGCATATGGTGAACCAAAGACAAAACACTTTGATGCCAAAGCCTCTATGCGGCACTTAGAGAAGTTTGTCCGAGATGTTCATGGGTAAGCTAATTGTCTGGTTGCTGCAAGCATTAAGATCATGAAATGTATTATGTATATGCAATATACAATATGACACAACCAAACATACATCAACCCATGCCATAGCAAGCAATAAATACCATCTCCCTCTTTCAAAAAAAAAATTAATAAAAATGTATATGAATATATATATATATTTAAAATTTAACATTTATTAGACACACACGCTTGCCATATTATATTTTCTTTTGTCCAGTCACATGATGCACTGGGGCTGATTTGCTAAAACTGGATAGTGTAAAATCTGGGGCAGCTGTGCATAGAAATCAATCAGCTTGCTGTTTCTTTTGTCAAAGCTTACTTGAATCAAGCTGAAGTTAGAAGCTGATTGGCTACGATGCACAGCTGCACCAGATTGTGCACTCTCCAGTTTTAGTAAATCAACCTCACTGGATCCTCTTTTGTTCCTTGTGTTGGCTAGTCTTTTAATAGTTTTCCTGGTTGAGCGAGGGTTATTCAACCTGAAAGACTGAGAACATCTATTAACTCTCCCTGGCGGTATTCCTGAGTGTAGCTCGGGATTAACTTTCAGTACCAAAAGCGGTAACCCTGAGCTATACTCGGGATTACACTGCAGCATTGCTCAGGGATTCCCTCTTGCACTTACCTTGTCCTGTGCTCCCGCGATGTCCCCCCTGCAGTGTCCCCAGCCATCTCCTCTGGTCGATGCTGGCATCTGTCTTCTGGGTTCCGTTCCCTGCGAGCGTCGGGATGTACGGGGGACAGAACCGGCGGGAAATTAAAAATTTTTAAAAGTGCCATTCACTCAATACACTAAAATCACATAGTATAACATTACTGTATCAAACCATTTCACATACATTTTGTCCGAGTGCTTTGTCCTGTGCCCTGCCTGCATTTTTACTGTTCTTTCTGCCTGGAAACTGAGAAATGTCCATGGCGTCCAAAAAGCGTCCCTTTAGGTCAAAAGCCGTTTTAGACCACCTAGAGAACAGCGATAGTAAATTAGAACCACTTGCAGAATTGAGTGATAATGATTCGTGGGGAAATTCATCAGACACTGAAAACGATTTTGCAACCAAGCTCAGTGATGTGCGAACTTGGCGCTCTATTTCAATTTTCAGTGTTTTTGGTTTGATTAAATTATTGACTTAAATTTATTATTATATAATTTTTTATGATTATTATATTATTATTTATGATTTCAAGTTTAAAATGCGATCATACCCGGGATGTTTACTAGACTCTTGTTCGGATAGATTTCAGTGAGTAATTCCTAAGAATTACAGGCCGACAATAAAAAAAACAACATACCGTATTTTTCTCCATAAGACGCACTTTTTTCCCCCCAAAAAAGGGGGGAAAATGTCAGTGCGTCTTATGGAGCGAATATAGAGCGGTCCCGGTCCGGTATTTCCACCGCCGCCGTGCAGAATACCGGGCCGGCCGCTCAGCTCTGCAGCGGGACCTTATGAAGAGGACTGCTGACCTTTGGGGAGGTGGGGAGCGGGTACCTGAATTGGACAGGTACCCGCTCTTACTTATTTGTTCTTTATCTTACCTGTTCCTCTATCCAGCGGCGCGATGTCTTCCAGCTTCTGTAGTGTGGGCACTGGGCATGACAGCCGGGTGCCAAGTGCGCATGCGCAAGAAGCGGTGCTTTTTGTGAATGGTAAGGCGGTACCTGGGACACATGACCGATCCCAGAAGCCGCCGGACCAATCACAAAGCGCAAGTGCTTCTCGCTCATGCGCACTGGGCACCCGGCTGTCATGCCGAGCGCCATTACAGAAGCCGAGAAGACAGCGTGCGGCTGGATCGAGGAACAGGTAAGATAAAGAACAACTCCGAGGAAGTAAGAGCAGGTACCTGTCAAATTCAGGTACCCGCTCCCCACCTCCCCAAAGGTCAGCAGTCATCTGTACTGCCCGCAGTCTCTGGTCATCCCTGTGCTGTCCGCAGTCTCTGGTCATCCCTGTGCTGTCCGCAGTCTCTGGTCATCCCTGTGCTGTCCGCAGTCTCTGGTCATCCCTGTGCTGTCCGCAGTCTCTGGTCATCCCTGTGCTGTCCGCAGTCTCTGGTCATCCCTGTGCTGTCCGCAGTCTCTGGTCATCCCTGTGCTGTCCGCAGTCTCTGGTCATCCCTGTGCTGTCCGCAGTCTCTGGTCATCCCTGTGCTGTCCGCAGTCTCTGGTCATCCCTGTGCTGTCCGCAGTCTCTGGTCATCCCTGTGCTGTCCGCAGTCTCTGGTCATCCCTGTACTGTCCGCAGTCTCTGGTCATCCCTGTACTATGTCTGCAGTCCATTAGTTCAGAATTTTTTTTTCCTGTTTTCTGCCTCTAAAACCTAGGTGCGTCTTATGGTCAGGTGCGTCTTATGGAGCGAAAAATACGGTATTTCCATGCAAAAAAAGTACCACTTTGAGCACAGAACTATTGACATAATCAGGCTGCTAGGGAGGTTAATGAAGAAGAGGTGGTTTGGGGGGACAGCTCTGGATTGAAGGCAAGTACCATTAAGTGGGGGCTTTCTTTTTTATATTGCCTATTTATTATATTATATTTAGAGTTAATCTAAAGGATAAATTCACGTTTCGTAACATGTTACACCCATATTGGGGGTGTAACATGCTATGATCAGACTGGCCCCCGCTCCCATGCTTTGACAACTAGTGAGGGATCTTCTCCACCCTCGCTAGCTGTCAAGTTTTAAAAAAGAAACAAGTCTGTGCGGGGCCCGTCCACCTGGCCGTGTCACTTATTCATAGAGTTCTGTGAATGAGAGATTACAAGTCCCAACAGCCTTAGCGGTTGTCAGCTTGTAGTCCTCAATGAAACTCACGGTGCTATGTAAGGCCGTGGTAGTAGTTCATTCATTCTTCCTGGCAGTATATCTGATTGCTCGTACATATCCTATAAGTAAGCAGATATACTGGCAGATCTGTAGGAGACCTGTATAACATCAGCGATCTGCTGATTGCTAGTGCAATGCTTTACAGGCTCCTGCAAACAAATAATAACAAATGCACATTTTGTTTACCTGTAAAAAAATGTGCATTTTATTATTTTTTCATTAAAATGTGAACTTCTCTTTTAACCACCTTCCGTCCGGCCGTTGTATATAAACGGCCAGACGGTTGCAGTGCAGGGGCGGGTGGCCGTTTATAAACGGCCTTCCCGTCCCCTGCTTGGGAGCGCGCAGCACCGCGATCTGGTCCCCGCTGTATCCTCCGGACACAGTGGAACACTGATCGTCATATGGTCCCAATCATGTTATCACTGATTGGCCAATCAGTGATCACATGCAGAGTAGTAAGCAAGATGTCACTTCTGCCATGCTTTTACTACGTGTGAAATCTGTGAATGATCGATCACAGAGGTCACATGGTACAAGGCTATTCACAACAGCCTTGTACCATGTGACAAGCTGTGACCAATTACAGCTCACACAGTATTTCTCAATGGCTGCAAGAATGCAGCCAGAGAGAAGGAGAAATGATTACTTTTGCAGCCTTTATGGGTGTAAAAGCAATCAGTATAAGTAAAAAAAAAAAATCTTCATCACCCCCCACAAGTAGTACAGTGTCACCATGGTGACACTGTACTGCTAGGGTGACAGTATGTAAAAAAAAAAAAAAAACTAAATAAAAAAATATAAAAATGTAAAACAAAAAGTTTAAAAAGTATAATTTTTGTTATAAACTAATATTTTTTTTTTTTCACTAAAAAGATAACGGAATAAATTTTGGCCAAGATTTTTGATGAAATATTATTTATTTGCAAAATTTTATAAGAAAAACACTTTTTTTTTTCCAAATTTTTTGACTTTTTCATTTACATAGCAAAAAAAAAAATAAAAATCCCAGTGGTGAATAAATACCACCAAAATAAAGCTTTATCTGTCTCAAAAAAATGCTAAAAAATTCATATGGGTACAGTGTTGCATGACTGCGCAATTGTCATTCAAAGTGTGATAGCACTGAAAGCTGAAAATTGGCCTGGACAGGAGGGGGGTGAAAGTGTCCGGACTGGAAGTGGTTAAAAGCACTGGAAGCTGCATGTACAGATATTTACAGCTCAGAGTGTAAATCCAGCCTCTGGCCAGCCTTGTGAGAATCTGCCTGTAAATGAAACACTCACTCATTTGTCCATCTTATTTCTGTGCCTTGCCTCCTCTTAGTGTGTTCTTTCTCCCTCCAGCTTTCAGATGCTCTATGCAGATTGTTATATGACCCGTGAGGAATTCTGGGAAATGTTTGACGGATCACTGTACCAGAAACTGCGGGACAAACTAAACTGCAAGAACGCATTCCCAGAGGTGTATGACAAGATTTGCAAAGCTGCTCGCCACTGAGAGAGGAATTTTTTTTCTATCGTGATATCGTGATTATAAAATCGGACTACTTTTTTTTTTCTCCCTGTTAATCTGCAGAGGACTTGTGCAAGACTTGAAGTCACTTACTGTACCTGTCAACTGTGTTGACATTTGTGAGCAGCTGAGGTTTGGGTAACCGTCCTGTGTGTGAGATTACATGTACAAAGTGTCACAATGAAAAGAAACCTTTAGGGCCCATTTACTGTACATGTATGTGTGTGCATAGAGGGTCATTGTCTGGTGTGTTTTGATGCGTTATTGACAGGCTTTGATGTGTTTCCAATTCTTTTATGAATTAATGATTTGGAGAGGATAGGGTTAATAGCCATTGACCAAGGCTTGTTAATTCCTCCTGATGCACTAAAATGCAGTGAAAAAAAAATGGACTTACTTTTCAAAATGCACTGCAGCGCAGAACTGGCAACGGGCACTTTTTTAAAAAGCGGAACTTTTAGCACGTTGTAGCATGTGCGTTAAAACACAACAGTGTAAATGGACCCTTATTCCTGAATTTTGTGCTTCAGTTTAACAGTTTTGGGACAGCAGCATGGTATCGCCAAATGATGGGATATATACGAATCTCTGGATGTGAAAGGCTTCCCTTTCATTAATTATCTTTTTGGCTGTGTGGGATGTTTGAGTTCTTCCTAATCATAATTTTAAACCATTTTTTTTCTCTAATCCAGGGGTCTCCAAACTTCGTAAAGAAAGGGCCAGTTTACGGCCTTTCAGACTTTAGGAGGGCTGGACTGTGGCCAGTGGGAGTCGAAAATGCCCCAGCTTCAGAGAGAGTCCACAATGTCCCAAACTTGATGGTCAGTAGCATTTACAGAATTAGCGCATGTGGTCAGTGGGAGGAATAGTGCCCCATTGTTGGTGTCAGTGGAAGGAATAGTACCCTATCATTGGTGTCAGTGGAAGGAATAGTGCCCTATCATTGGTGTCAGTGAGAGGAATTATACCCTATTGTTGGTGTCAGTGGGAAGAACAGTTCCACATCATTGGTGTCAGAGGGAAGGATGATGCCCCATTGTTGGTGCCAGTGGGAGGAATAGTGCCTCCTAATTGGGAAGGATGATGCCCCATTGTTGGTGTCAGTGAATAGTACCCCATCAGTGTCAGTTGTTGGAATAGTGCCTCAAGGGCCAGACAAAAGCAAGCAAAGGTCCACATCCAGCCCCCAGGCCGCAGTTTGGAGACCACTGCTCTAATCTATAAAATGTAATAAAAAACAAGAGGATCTGTCCTGGTCAAACCGTAATTCTGTTTAGTTATTTCGCATTTTGAGTTGAGAACTTAAACTACCTTGATATAATGACCTTATTATGCCAATTGGGAATTGTGCCTTCTGTCCCTTACAGCCGGATCCCAAGGGGGATGTTGGTTCTAATTTATAAACCAGCTAGCCAATATGATTTACCTTCTGTTACTGACCACTCAGTCCAAGGTCTGGACCTGGACATTGTTCTTGGAAATGGAGCCTTTGCAAGCCTAAATGTGAGGTTTTATTGTATGTAAACCAAATGAAGGCAATGTTTGTATATTTGGAGAAAGTGCCAATGCATTTAATGCTTTAATTAAATAATCTTGTGTATTTACCGGAGTGTGATGACTTTTTTAAAAGCAGGTAATGGATGGTTTGTAGTAGCATTGTGTTGCTCTTTAGCTTTATAAGGGAATAAACTGCTAATGACAGGCCATGCTGGGGCTTGTAGTTTTAGTAATTGGAAGTCTGCGCAAGTGAAAAGTTAGAATGCCAGACTTCGAACAGTGCTAGAATCATACTTGTATACCATCACAGTCCACATCTAAGGTCATCATACTAAAATTATAAAAAAAAAAAAAAAAAAAAAAATCAGTATATGACAGCAGTGAACAGAAACATATTGTCACATATGCTGTAATTTTTAATAGTGTGTGTATATGCATCGGCGTTATATGGCATTTATTATATATATATATATATATATATATATATATATAATAAAATGCCATATAACGCCGATCACCAAAGAATATCTAAACACATGCAAGGATAGTCTGAAAAGTTCACAGCCCAACACTGAAGGAGTGACCACACAGACCTGGTACTTTATCACCACACGAAGCCACTCTTCCAGATGCTTAGAGCTGAAAACGGCACATGTACGCTATAACGGTTTTCATGCGCTCTTTGCAAAAATTTGCCCCTCCCATAATCAAGTTGAAAATGGAGAAACCTAGAAGGAGAAGGCTCGATGTGTTCCACCAGTGGGCAAAGTGATGGCAACAGTCTATTGAGATTCTGAGGGTGTGCAGAAGACTGTTGCTATCACTTTGTCCACTGATGGAACACTTTGAGCCGCCTTCTTCCGCTTTCTCCATTTTCAACGTAACTACAGGGGGTTGCCAACTTTTTCCAAAGAGCAAATGAAAACCATATAGTGCGCAAGCACCTTTTTTCAGCGCTGAACATCTGGAAGAGTGGCTTGGTGTAGTGATGGAGTGGTCACTTCTTCTGGGTTGGTCTGTGAACATTTCAGACTATCCTCGTAAATGTGTACTGTAAGGCTCCATTCAAACTTGCACAACTCCAAATTTGTGCAACTTTGGGTGTGACGTGTCCCTCTACAAGGCCAGACCCACTGTTATATACAAAACATTCATGTATGACTTTCATGCAACTTTTGATGGTTACCACTGAAGTCTATGTCCCCAAAGTTGCATGAAAGTCGAACCAAAGTAGTACATTAACTAAAAAAAAAAATAGTATAGTTCATGCTAATAGTATAATATATTATTTTATGAATGGTTATCCCTGGAAAACATGGAGTACGACTTGTTATACAACTTTCATGTCCAAAGTCGCATGACCAGTCACACAAGTGTGAATGGTGTGTTAAGCTGGCCATGCAGCATGCAAATGTTGACCGGTTCCTTATGAACATGCCAAAATTTGCTATGTGAGTGACCTTGTCTGCCCCTCCCACCTGCCATCCTTTGATTGAAAAAATCTTAAAGGAGCCTGCAGCACTGTAAAATACGATAGAAACAGCAGGGGAGTCTTTCATCCACATTGTATAGCATGGATGGAGAAATCTGTTCAATTTTCCTTTTCTTCTGGGTATAGGATGAACAAAAAAAAAAAAAACAAAATTAAGTGTATGGCTATCTTTGGGATTTGTCATTTTGTTCAGCCAGTCTTGTGATTTAAACTCTTCTGCCACATCATATAGCCAGAAAGATCTCTCCACTTTCTAGTTCATCTGTGTAGTTACCTGTGTCACCAGTTTGCTTGTGAAATAATAAATAATGTAATTATACTGATGCTTACTGATACCATTTCAATGTCTGATGAACAGGCTGGAGAGATAATGCTGGAAGTTGCAAAGCTGAACCAGAAAATGAGAGTGTTACCTGCCTGGCTGTGTAGTGTGGCAGGAATCGGTGTTCTACCTTTTCACAAAAAAGCCTCTGGATCTTCAACTTCTGTCCAGATAAAAAAAATACCCCTAACTTTACATGAAATCACGTTGGGTTTGTTATTGTGCTCATGAGCTGGAGAAGTAATATTTTATTAAGGTTTTCTCTTTATGTATTAAACAAAAATCACTTCTTATGTGATTTATGTTTTGTACCCCTGCAGATCTGTTAACAGCAGCAAAGATCAGCTCAGTTGACTACTGTGGACCAAGGGCTTTGTCTGCTGTATACTGACAAGCTGCAATCAAAAACTCCAAAATATTTGAAGACATTTTCAAGAATGGTTGCCATGGATAACTATTTAGCACTCAATCAGAATTCAGTTTACCAATGTCCCACTAGTAGACTTTAGTAGATGAATTCTAATTTATTGCTAGGGGACTTGCTTTGCACTTGCTGCTCCCTGCCCTGTTATACGGAGTAAGGGCATTTGTCTTCAAGTATATTTATATAATTTAATTTATTTTGTACTTGGCTGAGAACTTGAGCTATCTTTACAGAGCCACACATTATACAATTTTCTTATTCAAATTCCTTTAGATTTACCTTCAACTATGTAATGCAAGCTCCTTTCTGATTGCATACAAATTGAATGTGTTTAGGTTTGACCTCATATTATTATATGGTTTTTGTACATCTAAAAAGAAAAATGATATGATGTATGGCCAGCCTAACTATACTCTATTACTAATATCCTATGTGGAAGTTGTTGGTATAGACTAGGACCTAATAAAAGCAGCTGCAACCAACAGAATTTCATTTCCTCTGCTGCACAAAGGGCACGCAGGAAATACTGTGACCGCTATAGGCTGGGTGCCCTCTCCTTCCTTCAGATACTATAAATAATGAGATCCACAGAGCCCAACATTATGCAGGCCATACATGGGTCGAATTCTGAATAAATTTTCTTTAGAAAATAGGAAATTTTGTGCTTTTTGCAATCCGATGGTGCCACCATTGATTTCGAAATTTGACCAACCAAGCCTCAATTTCACATGTTGGTACAAAAAAGAATTTTTGTGGCCAAGAATTTTCTTTTCTTTCCAGGTCACAGCTCATGCCCATTTCTCTTTCGATTATATTTCTCACACGATTCTCCCATCATGGAGTAGAAATTAGATTGTTTTTCAAAAAAGTTCCAACATGCCTCATTACTCAGATTTGATTTGAAAATCAGTCGTTTCTGTGGCCCACTAATGGTGTGAAATTTGAACAAAAATTCTTAGAAAAGATTTTCAAAAGAAAATTCTTTTCGAATTCGACCCATGTATGGTCGGTAGAGATGAGCGAATTTTTCAAAAATTCGATTCGGCTGATTCGGCGAATTTCAGGAAGAAATTCGATTTGATGCGAATTAATTCGCTACGAAGTTAACTTATAAAAAGGGTTTCTAGGCTTCAGAGAGCCTTTAAATTAGTGCAGAACACTGTACCTTTAATTTAAATGCCCTTGGAGATGAGGAAGGAGAAGGAGAAGGAGAAGGATGAGAAGAAGGAGAAGGAGAAGGATGAGAAGAA